GCTTCAGGATGACTTTCTCTGCAAGAGTTAACTGGCCCACTGCTTTGTTACGTCTGACATTCTCCTGGAGCTAACCACAGCGGAAGAAGAGCACCTTGTTCTTGTGCAGGGGCTCTGGGACTGCTGGAAACAAGGGTGGGGGTGGGGAGGGTCTCAGGATGTGGGTGGCCCAGGACAAAGCACCAAACTCAAACACCAGAGTTGCACCACACCCCTCTCCCCAAGAAAGTTGTAAAAAAAAATGCTTTTAGGTTCTAGACCTATAAAGTATACATTTCTTGGGCATGAGAAATGTCACAGCCACAGAAAACACTCAAATTGGCAAACATCAAAACTTTCAGTCATTTCTTCCACTTATGTCTTCCACATGTCCCAGTTTCTCCATCCGGGGACAGGAGACACAGGTAACCTTCTTTTGGCGAATGAGGCTTCTTCTAAGAATTCCAGAGTCTCCAGTTTCAATTCTGGCTTTGCCCCAGCGAGCTTGTGACCTTGCCTAAGTAGTTTAACTGCATTGTGCTTTATTTCCTCACCTGCAAAATGAAGGGGATCGGGCAGATGAGGACCCTGCTTTACAGCCCTCAAACGTTAGGATCCCAACAGTCACTACCAATGCTAAGCTCAAATTTAGTTTTCGGCAACTGCCAGGTTGTAAGGATGTAGCCTGGACACTTTACTACATATGGTCCCAGTCCGGCTACATTGCCAGGAAGCAGCTAAGGGTCAACTATTCTTTTATTGCTTTTATCTTCTCCTTGTTCCACCAGCCATCAAGTCTCGCTGACATAAACCCTAACTTAGTTTACAAAGCAACGCCAGGCCTGCATTGCTCAGGTTCTCCAGCAAGGCAAGCTACAAGGGGGCTTAGGATACACCTGGCACCAGTGGGGTTTGTTACTCTTCAAAGTTACCCTGTAGATAATTGGGCTGGCCACAAAACTGATTCCCAGTGAAGGTCAGAGGGAGACAGAATGCATTCTTCTAACTTTCCTGTTCTTTGAGTTCTAAAAACACATGGCTTTTAAGGCACAGTGTTTGAAGCCAACGCAAGAACAGAAACCAGTACCCCCCTCTCGGAAGCAAAGGCTACCTGGATTCTCCTCTCTACTGGTCCCTGTCCCCACCCTGCGAGGCTCGGGTCCCCCATCTCTCAGCTGTTGCTTTTTTGTGCCTTCTGTTGTGTCACTTTCTTTGTGTGAGATACATTTTCTGAGTCACTTTGAAGCCAAGGAGAGGATCAGAGTAGGAGGAAGGAGATACCATTAGTGGTTTCCTACATTTGCTGCTTTCAAGTTATCTTCTCTTCTTAGTCCCATGCAAAATGATTAGCAGAAAAAAAATGCTTTTTAGCAATTGTAGATACGTTCCCTGAGACACTATTTTTAAGCTGTTAACAAGCATGGAAGTATGCACTAAGCTACACAGCTAGTACCTCAACGAATTCAGGGAGGTTCCCCCTCTTTATAAAACAAAACAGAGAAATCTGCTAAGACTTGGACTCCTACCCTCCTCACCTGGTACTACCGGGAATGCTTTCAGGGGGATCTATGGAAGACTTCATACCCTGAGCCCAGGCAGCCAACGTTCCCTCTTCCTAGTTAAAAATGTTAGCAGCTACTTAAAAGGGAATGGGAAATGACCAGTTGGGGAAAGTGGATATTGACTGGTCACACAAATGGAATATTTGTAAGGCAAGCAAGGTTAGAAAACCAGCCCTAAAATTAACAACTGTCTGAAGCTATTTGCCAAATGAATACGGGTCTCTGGGAAAGAGGGTATCGGTGCGATGGTCTGTCTTGGGGGGTGGGGGATGGAGATGACGCCAGAAGAGTTGAAGGAAACACTTCCTCTCATCTCTGAGAGACAACAGAAGCTCCCCCACCCCAGCCTTTCAATCTGCAGGTGTTATTTATTCAGCTCTAAGCTGAGAGTATTATTTTCTGTTTTCAAGTTAGCTTCACCAGCACATTAATCTCAGAAACTACTCTTCCAAGGATTACACAAGGTGGCAATTTATAGGAAAACAAAACAAAACAAAAAAACCCCTTTCCTGTTCTCCAGCTTGTGTGTTTTAGCTCCTGGTGCTTCGTTGAAGGGTGCTTTGTTTCAGAGGATGATTGGCGTGGTGGCGCTATTTTAACACCCAGGCCTGGGCACCGCAGTATATGAAAGCTTCCATTTTGGGGCATATAGTCACTAAAAATTCCCTCTTAGCTTAAACTTGGCATCAAGCACGTATCTCAGCAGAAGCAAGATGACTGAGCACAGAGGCACGGCAACCCAGCGCTTTTCTTCCTCTCTGCTTGCACAGGAAGAGAGACCCCGCTGTAGCAGCACCTACAGCTCGGCCATTCTTCGATGACAATCTTAGGCAGCAAGAGCTCTTTCCCAAAGCGTAACCAGCAGGCTGCTCCGACTGGAGTACATTGAATGAGATGTGACAGGCCATTGCCTCTGGCACGAATAGATCCCAAATTCTTCTCGAAGAATGAAATAATTTCACCTCCTTTCTACGAGAAGGAAGAGGCGGAAAAATGATGAAGTCCTGCCTGTTCCAGTGAATAGCACTGTGACCATGGTTTCTCGGGAATCTTTTCATTTCCAACAGTTCACATCTGAAACTGAGTTCCTCCCCCTGGATGTCTCTGACACGGCGAAGGTTGAGTTTGAGCACGAACTGTACCCAAGAGCTGTCAAGTCGCTAGAATCATGTGAAGCGTGGAAGTGAGACCACAGGGTGAGGATGCATGGGTCTCAACTCGTAACAACTCGAGCACACGTCTTACTAGAAAGTCTATTTTATCCATTGCTATGATGGCCAAATTTTATGTATGTAGAAAGCCAAATGACTTAGATGTAAATAATGACTTAAACAGCAGCACCTTTGCAAACTTACAACCATTCTGCTTTATGTATGTGACTACAGAGGCCGTGTACAAGTGGTCTTCCACCATTTCTCTAATTTACATCTACCACTTGCCAGGCCCTGTGCTACAGAGTTCACGTGCTTTCTCAGGCGTGCACCTTTAGAACATCAAGGACAGGCCTGGTACCGTCACTAATATGCAGCGGAGGAAGCAGTTTTGAGAGATTAAGTATTTGGCAAAGATCACACACGTTGTCGGTGACAGAGGCAACAGAGCTAGTAGGGCAGCACTCGTGTCTTTCTCTCCCATAAGAAAAAGGTGAAGAATTTGCTCCTAGTTACATTCTTAGATGTTCTGGAGACAGAATTTGGTATCAGCACTAGATGGGTCTGCAACTCTGGCCACCTGAAGAATTCTCAACTTCTTGGGTTCCAAGCGCCCTTATCTTTGCTGAGCCAACCACTATCAGCTACACCCATCCCATCGTTCCTGCTTAGGGAAACACTATCATCAATATGCCAAGACTTGGGAAGTCACACAATTTTGATAAGGAAAAAGTCAAACTTTACATTCGGTGCTTAGAACTTCGTGTACATTGACTAGACACATATCCTACCCCCTCCCCAAGAATCAGCTCTTAAAAGCACAGATTAACCAGTGATTCAGCCCACATGGCAATCCTCTATGAAAATGTTTCTGAATATGTACACAAGCAACATTTATATGCCTCTGATGGAAACAATTTTGGGAGTGCACACATTCGAAAGGATCTATATTCCTGGAATAATCCCATGGCAAGGAGGATAAAGTTTTAGAATAACTTGGAAGGTGGTGAAGGCAATCTTTGATACGGTAAATACATAAATACAATGAACTACATATAAATTTGGCTAGACAAGCCTTGGAGGCCTGGTCCAACAGGCACTGTAAGATTTTAAAAACAAAAACAAAAACCCAGCCATTTGGTGGTCTCCCATGATCAAAATTATCCCAGCCCATGAACATGAATCTACTCCAAAAGTATGTCAATGGCTGGTTGTTTCAGGTTGGGTTTACTGATACAGTAACAAGGCTGTGTAGGGGGGAAATATGCGTAAATATGTCCAAGCACGTTTAGGTCAAGTCAGTAGGAGTTATTCAGTGCTCATAAAAGCATGCAATATTTTAGCGACGAGAACCCAGCACACCAGGACGTGGAAAGCCAGCCTTGTATACTCTCTTTCCCCCCTGCTGGCAGACCCTAGTCACTAAAAAAAAAAAAAAAAAAAAAAGCGATGAGCTCCTTTGACAGACCGCATCTCCCATCCCCAGCGAGTATCTCCAGGGCTGGAAAAGCAGTTAAGATCCAACCAGAGGAGACATCGGAACAGTAGGCAAAGAAAAACCTTGATTATTCCCAAACGCGTGCCACGTCCCAAGGTGCTGCCTAGAGGCAGACTCTGTGGAAGAGCCCTGCAAAATCTTGATCCTCCAGAAAACGAGCCCACTGGGGGCTGAGACAAGAGGAGCTCCACGCCGGGTATTAGCGGGCAAGCCTTTATCCAGCGGAGTCGGGTCCGGTTCTAGCCTCGCCACGAGGGTGAACGCCAGCAGCAGGCATGGAGGCAGGGGAGGGAGAGAGAAAAGGGAGAGAAGGGGGAGACCTCCGGGCCACGCTTCTTTCTGGTACCAACAAAAAGAGAAGCCGCATACTGACCTAAATCATCCCTCAAAGGCGCTTTATAAATGACGGGGACAAAGGGAGGGGGTGGCGGGTGGCCTGAGTACCCCGCAGACACCCTACCCTCTGACCCGCCCCCTCCCCCTCCAGCACCGGGCCGGCGGACGCGAGGCAGGGCTCCGCTCGGCCCCCCGGGGCGAGGACCCCATCTAGCCGCCCCCCGAGGAGCAGCCCGCCCGCACCGTGCCCACCCCCCACCCCCACCCCGGGGCGCACCCTGCCGCCCCGGGGCTCGCGAAGCCCGAGGCCGGGGCACTGACTTAGTTAGATTTTTCTTGCTTACTCATTTCCCTCCAGCACCCAACCCCCCGTTCCCACTCCAAAACCCCGCGCGGCCTCGGCCCAGCCCCGCCCGGTGCCCGGTGCCCGCGGCAGCGGCGGCGGCGGCGGCCCCGACCGTCCCGGTCACTAACCTGCTGCTGTAAGGGCATTTCCGAAACCAGCCTGGCTCCGGGGAGGCGGGGGCCGGCTGCAGAGGGGGCCCGGAGGGCCGAGCAGACCGGCGGCGCCGGGCGAGGGCGGGCGCCGGCGGGGGTGGGGAGAGCGGCGGGAGGCGGCGGTGCCGGGGGCGGGTGCGAGGGCGCCGGGACCGTCCCAGGCCAGGGAGCCGGCGAGCAGGAGGAAGTGGGTGCCCCCTCTGCCCCTCCAGCGCCCCCTCCCGCCGCCGCCGCCTCCCCAGTCACAGGCGCGTCCTCCGCGCACGTGTGCGAAACGTCACCGGCGGGTCCCGGGGAGAGGGGGACAGACCCGGGCGGCGGGACGGGAACCGGCTGCCCCCGCCCTCCGCTGCCGCCGCCGCCGGGGGCGGGGAGGGGGCCAGGGCGGAGGCGGCAGGGGCCAGGGGAGAGGCGGGTCAAGGGCAGGCCCTGGGCCCGGCGAAGAAGGCCCGGGCGCTCGGGCCACGCGGGCGCCGCCAGGATGCGCCCAGGCCGTGCACCAGCCGGCGAGCCCCTGGCCCGGGCAGCCCACGCCCCAGCCCGCAGCGGCTTTGCGCCCCACCCCCCGGGCCCCAACCCCCCTCTGTCTTCCCCCAGCCCCTTTGTTGCCCGGAGTTACAGATCCCAAAATGTGTCAAGCGCAGCTCGGCCGGGCCCCCCTGCGCTGCGCGATCACGCCGCGGGAACCCCCCGGCCGCCCACGCCGGCGAGGGGGCGCGAGCACCCACCACCACGGCCGCCCGGTCTGCACCCCCGGGGTCCCCCCCCAGCTCCCCAGTTCCCTGCTCCCTCCCCCACACCCCCTTCTCCATCCGGGGCGTGACCCCTTCCTACGCCCGAGAAAGAGGAAGCTTAGAGTTGGAGGGGAGGGGAGAGTGCGTGGGGTGGGGGGGTTAGGGAAAAGTGCAGGGGAAGCAGGGTGGGGGGGCCCGCGAAAAGTTTGCGAGTGTTCGCCGTGGGTCGCACCGAGGCGGCCCCCCGGCGCTTGAGGCGGGACGCGCAAGTCCCAACAATGAGCCCCCGGACAAGGGCAGCCTCGAAGGCCCACGCGGCCCGGCCTGGCGCTCTCGCCCGCACCCACCCACCCACCGACCCACCGCGCGCGCCCTCCCGCCGGGGCCGGGCCGGGGGGAGCAATTACCGGAGGGCCGCCGCCGCCGCCGCTGCCGCCGCGTCCCGGCGCTGGCGCCTGCTGCAGCAGCCCGGCTCTGCTGGAGGGTCCGTGCGGCGTGGTGTAGAGGAGGCTGCCGGCCGTCGGCTCCGCGCCGGGGGCGCTGGGGAGGAGGGGGCCGGCGGCCACGGCGCCGCTCTGCAGGGAGGAGGAGCAGGAGGAGGTGGAAGTGTTCGTGGTGAGGATCTGGATGTACGCGCCCGGGGCGGCGGCGGCGGCGGCGAAGCCCGGGCTGGCTAGCAGTGCCCTTTTGTCCATGGCGGCGGCGGCGGCGGCGGCGACGACAGCCGCCCCCTCCCCACCCCCGGCGGTCACCAGGTACTGCTCCAGGGCGGGCTGGATCCCCTTTCTCATCTCTCGCTCCTGCTCTCTTTTTTGAGTGTTACGCTATATGAATGTATTGCTTTCAATGTCTTTATTATTTGCAGCCGGAGTTTCCAAGTCTCTCTCCTCTCTCTTTTTTCTTTTTTATTTTTCCGCACCGCACGGGCCCCAGGGGCCAAAAATAATCGGGGCTCTGGAGAGAGGAGGGTCCCGGCCGCACGGATATCAGACCCCGAGGACGGATGGAGGCGTCGGGGTCGGCCGATGCAACGGATTGCGAGGCGGCGGCGGCAGCCCGGGTGCTGCGGCCGGCAGCTGAAAAATGGCTCCAGGAAGCTGCTGCTGACAATGAATGAAGGGATACGGTTTACGCGCCAAGGTCCTCCCGCGAAACTCGGATTTCCCGCCGGCTTTTCAAACCATATTTGCATATCCCCGCCCCTCAACCCGCCGAGGACCGTTCCCACAGCCCATTGGGCCTCCGTCGCCTCCCTTCAGTCCCAATCGCGGAGCAGGGCCGCGATCGACTGCTTTCCATTGGCTGTCGGGCATCGTGGTTACCGGGGCGACAGGGGTCCTATTTGCATAGGCCTGTTTGATTGGTTGGGGTCAGGGCAGGTTTTTTTTTTTTCTTGGAGGGTGGAGCAACACCTTCGCTGCTCTCCCACGGCTGACCACGCCTGCCTCGGGCCCCGCCCCGGCCCCGGCCGCCCGCGGGGTTGGCTCCCCTGACCGGGGCTGGCACTCAGATCTCTGCGCGCTGGATGTCAATCTAGCCGAGAGCGCAGGTTTCGCTTTTGCAAACTGTCAAGGTGACCACGGGGACACTTTGGGGAACAGCTCTTTGGCTGGTCAGGGCAGTGGATGAGCAACTGCATGCAGGAGATCCTCCCCAGATGTGCGCCTGGCAGGTGGAAGCTGAGCCCTTTAACTCGGGGCGCTCTCGAGTCCTGAGATCCAGCCCTCGCGGCCCCGACAGCGGAGGCTGACCGGTACACAGGACCGTGGGGGCAGGAGGTTCGGCTCACGGCCATGGCGGGCTCTACTTCGTTCCCGCTCCAGAGCTTTCCTGCTAGCTGCATTATCGGCCCAGGGTGGGTTTCGGTGGAAACTCACTCTTTTGGGCAAAGGACATCAAGTACCGCGGAGTTACTGGCAGGAGGCCACCGACACTGTGCGGCCCAGAAGCACGCAGGGCAGTTCGTCAGGGCTAACCTAGAACTATGCAATCCGCGGGCAGTAATCCCAGGAAGGCGCTCGCTTCCAGGATGACGTGGTGATCTCGCGAGCTGCGCCCGCGCCGGCCCGCGCAGCCCGGGTTTCTTGGCAAGTTCGCCCCGGGAAAGCAAACTCCGAGCCGCCCAGACCGACGCTGGAAGATTTCAGAAGACTCTTTTTTTTTTTTTTTTTTCTAGTAAACTCGAAATTGTCGTCAAAAAATATTATGACATATTGTTGTCAAGTGGACTTCTGGATTGGTACAGCTCTTCACGGGCCTTAAAATTAAAAACTGCTCCCGTGAGACTTTTTTTTTTTTTGCAGAAAAGAGACCCCTACAGGAATGTAGGGAAAGGTGTCTGTGTCCTTATCTACATTCCTGTCACTGCTAGGTGATGACGATGGCAATACCTTGAGCCCATTCACCAGACTTTCATAAATTAATTTTTCCCCAAAACTCATGTGCTCGGAGCCCCCCGAAACGCCCAACAGGATTCCTTAAATACCTCAGACCTGTTACCTTTTTTGAAACAGCAAACCTTGCACCAGTCTCAGAAATATTTTTGTCTTTCATTCAAGCTTGTTGAGGTTCTGTGGCCCAGAACCCAAACATTGCTTGACGCTGATAGGCTGATACTGTCTTTGGGGGGCATATTAGGTGGTATTTAAAGCCCATCGATTCCTGGGTGAGCCGGAGATAGTGTAGTAGCAACTTCTTTGATCTTGTCCCGTCAGTGTTGTTTCCCACTGTGGGTCACCATGGAGGAAACTAGCACTGTCACTTCTTGGATATCACCCTCTGCAGAATGGCGCTGGCAGCCTACATCATGGGGTCGTGGGGGAAGGCTGGTGCCACATGCACAGTCATTATGGGCCTGCATTTAACCATGAGAGAAGCCTGGGACTGGGACTGGGCACAGAGTCTGGGCTTGGGCTCCCAGTAAGTGATTGTAGTAGGATAAAAATGCAGCTGCAAGAAAGCAAACGTTCACCACCCAGATCCACACCTGTGACCCTCGCTCAGAAAGCTTTGAAATATTTATCATTCGCCTTAGCAAGTTATATTTTTTTTCACATAGAGAAACAGATGTTTTGACATGTTTATGTCTGTTGAACCCTAGGATCAGGAAGTGGAGGGAGCGTTCAGGGAGAAGAGGTATTGGAAACAAGAGGCTAAAATCAGAGGTAGTCTATTCATTTGTGGAGAGGCAGCATGTTTTAGTAAAAAGAAAATGAGTTTTGGAGTCAGCGGGAGCTGGGTTCAAATTCTGTTCTGCCTCTGACTAGCTTTATAGTTTTAATCATTAAACAGGCCGGCGCCGCGGCTCACTAGGCTAATCCTCCGCCTAGCGGCGCAGGCACACCGGGTTCTAGTCCCGGTCGGGGCGCCGGATTCTGTCCCGGTTGCCCCTCTTCCAGGCCAGCCCTCTGCTGTGGCCAGGGAGTGCAGTGGAGGATGGTCCAGGTGCTTGGGCCCTGCACCCCATGGGAGACCAGGAAAAGCACCTGGCTCCTGGCTCCTGCCATCGGATCAGTGCGGTGCGCCAGCCGCAGCGCGCCGGCCGCGGCGGCCATTGGAGGGTGAACCAACGGCAAAGGAAGACCCTTCTCTCTGTCTCTCTCACTGTCCACTCTGCCTGTCAAAAAAAAAAATCATTAAACAGCTTCCTCATATGTTAAAAACGAATCCATCTTTACTGCAAGGCTGTGATGAAAAGAGACAGTAACAGATAAAGTACAAGGGCATACAAGAGGCGCTTAATACAGAGTAACGATTGATGATTCTATTCTATTTGTGTGATCATGCTTTGCAGGTCCTTGGAGTCCAGTCTGACTCCTAGCCTTTAATCTTCCTAGAGCCTCTGGGGCAGCTTGGTTTTGTCCCAAACTAGGACTGCAATGGTGTCCTGGTTAGTAGGGAGTACCTAATCTGTCTCAAAATCAGAATACCGACATAAAGTCAGATGCTGCTCACCCTGCTCCAACCTGCTCCTCTCTAATGTCAGCTTCTGGCTGGTTCCTAAGGCAGAGCCCTCCTCATCTTGCTTTGAAGACGTGTCCATCTAGCACTAGACTCACAGACTCCTCGTTCCACCAGTTCCCACCCCTACCTTCCCTTGCTCTGACAGTAGCCCAAGGCAGCCACTTGTCCTGGAATTGGCCTGTGTGGTTGTTTGAATGGTGGCCCCTAGCCTCTGTAACCTGTCATTGTGAGCTTGTTGGGGTGGGGGGGAGAAATGGGGTCATTACAAGTGTAACTAAACTAAGACTTTTGAGACAAGGCCGTTCTGGATTATTGGGGAATGGGCCCTAAATCTAATGACCAGGATCTTCTTTATAAGGGTCACCCAGTGAAGATGGAGGCAGAGATTGGAGTGACCAGCCACAAGCCAGGAATGCCACTAGAATCTGGAGGGGACAAGAAACAGCCTTCCCAGAGCCTCTGGGAGGGAGCATGGTCCGGCCCACACCTTGGTTTTGGACTACTGGCCTCCAGAACTGGGAAAGAATAAATTTTTATTGTCATAAGCCACCCAGTTTATGATAACTTATATGACAGCCTAGGAAACTGCTTGTTTTCCTGAGCCTTCACGCCTTGTAACTCACCATTGATGCACATACACACGTACTCCACAGGACAGCAATACTGCCACCTGGCCTCTCAAGTCCTGTGGGTGATGTCCCAAAGCGTGACTTGCTGGCCAGAAGATGCAGATTCACTCAAGGAGCTTTTGAAAGTGCAGATCCCGGAGCTCTGCCTCAACTCAAGGGCTTGGAATCCTTTGAAGTGGGGTCTGAGGTTCTGCATTCCACACATCCCTCCAGGTAATGCCTTTGAGCTCTAGAGACCAAGGCTGAAGTCAGCTGGATGCCTTTGGACTTCTTTCTGTTAC